AACTCAATGATGCACACACACACACACACACACACCTCTGCAGGTGGAATCTCCGTGGTGACCGTTTGTTTTGGTGGAGCCGCTCACCGTTTGCTCCGCCTCAATAAACCTCCAGCAGACAGATCAAACCATCGATACTCTGGGAGAGAGCGGCTCACTTCCTGTTCCGACCCGCGGTCAGTCAGTAACGGACAGGCAGGTGCACAAATACCAACAGGCGGCGGCGCTGATATGAGACTTCCCCGTGTTCTGAGAGAAAACCAAACATGTCTCTGCTTTTCCCGCCACGATTTTCACCTCCACTTCTGTTGATGTGTTGAAATCAGAGCCGTGATGGTGCTTAGCGGTGGTGGCCATCTTGAACCGGATCATCTCCAAAAGATAACACGTGTGGTTCATATCTGAACGTTTCATTAAAATATTTTGCTAACAGACAAACAGGGGTCAACTGTAACAGTTAATGTTACAGTTTAAAGCAGAGATCTTTAATCTCCAACTGCCTGAGTGGCACCAATCAGCAAAACGATGCAGTCAATCAAACTCTTGGGTTTTTGTTCAAACGGTTTCTCACAGTTTACGACAAGTTGAAAGTTCTCAAGACGAGAGAGAGAGAGAGGAGGCCGACGCGTGAATTTCAGGCTAAACGAAGCTGCAAATGATTTATCGGTTTCGCAGAAACCACGCTGAGTCTCAGACAGATAACTGCTCATAATCCACCTGCTATAAACCTCCAGAGGTCAAAGGTCAGGTCTGGGGTCTGAGCAGCAGGCTTTGTTAAAGGCTTAGCTGACAATTATTTATTCCTCAAGTAGCAGATAAAACTATTAATATTAGTATTTTTAATGCCTTTTCTGGGACGTAATCCCTAGCCGATCATATAGGCTGATTAGCTTTTGAAGTCAACTCAATTCAAGATGGCCGCCGCACCCAGCTGACCTTAAAACCACAGAAAAAACTTAACTGTGCAAATATTGAGCTAGATTTTGGTGTGGACATATTTGAGCGTGATCCCCAAGATGAAAAAGAAAAATCTTTGTTTAAATTTAGCTGCTTAAGTCTGTCAGCAAAATATCCAATGAACGACTGGACGGATCTTAATGAAACCATCTGGAACCGCACTGGTTTGGTGGTGGGGAATATTTGCAGACTCATCTTCTATAAACAAGTGAGTCATTAAAAGCACAAAACTGTTGATTTTATCTTTACTGCACATTTGATGTTTATTTCTAACCATTTTTCAAATAAAGGGTCTGTATTGTGATGTTTTGCGGGTCTGCTTTAAAGTAAAAGTGTTTAAATTTAAAACAGCTCAGAAACTGCAGATTTCCTCTTCCTGCATGGAAACCCCTCCAGATGTGCAGAACTCCACGTTGGTGCAAACTCGCAGGATTTTGGTCCAGTAAACTAAAATGATGTCCCATATTTTTGACTTTTTATTTAAATGTCAACACTGTGACGCAGTTCTGGCTTTTATCCAACGGATGGAAAAGAAAAAAGAAGGGGGGAGGATTACTTATTTTATCAAAGGGTTTGTGTTTAAAGTCAATAAAGCTGTTCAACATGTAGGTCAAGTGCAGGTCAGCCTGTCAGCTGCTATAAAAAACATTTGAGCCTAAATTCAGCCACTTTCTTTGGAATATCATACTCAACTAAAACGCATTAATTTCAGCTTAAATTACCAAAATAAACAAGATTCACAACAGCTGTAGTCCATTCAGCAGGTTAATTTACACTCAGATAATATTTTCAAGCTTTAAACCAACCTTTTGCGCTTAAAACACAAACATCTGTATTGTTGACATAATCAGACGAGGCAGAAAGTTTCGTTTAATTAAACCAAGTTTTCTCTTTTAACTCGAATCAACTTTGAAATGAACCAGAACACAAACATTTGGTGGCACCAGTGCACGTGAGCAAGAAAACCGTCGCTTTTAAAAAAAATAAATAAATAAATAAAACTTTCTGAATCTTACCTGCTCTCCGCGGTCACCTGCGGCGGGGGAAGCCATGTTGAAAGAAGCGGCGCGTGAAGCTGGCCTCAGGTGACTTTGTTCCCGGCTGAAAACTGGTTCTGGAAACCCCAAAACTAGTCTGGAGATTCGGGTCTGGGACGGACCGGCAGACCTGTGCCCAAGGAGGTGTGGAGGTGAGCCGGGAGAGAGGAGTTCTGCGTCCGGAGGGAGGCTCCAGGTGAGGCGGGGGGAGTGACCAGCTGCAGCCGGGGAGGAGTGGACACTCCGGCCGCTAGGGGGCAGCAGTACCCGCTTCACACTTTGGCCGCTAGGGGGCAGCAGTACCTGCTTCACACTTTGGCCGCTAGGGGGCAGCAGTACCTGTTTCACACTTTGGCCGCTAGGGGGCAGCAGTACCTGCTTCACACTTTGGCCGCTAGGGGGCAGCAGTACCTGCTTCACACTTTGGCCGCTAGGGGGCAGCAGTACCTGCTTCACACTCCGGCCGCTAGGGGGCAGCAGTACCCGCTTCACACTCTGGCCGCTAGGGAGCAGCAGTACCTGTTTCACACTTTGGCCGCTAGGGGGCAGCAGTACCCGCTTCACAAGCAAAAACTTTATTTCATTAAAAAAAATTAAATCTTCAGGTTTTTACTTTAGTTCAAACGAAAAAACTAGTTAAGATATTTAAAATATAGGTATATTATTTAAAAATTACCCTTCATGATACCTGAATGATAAGCCTCCTTTTTAATTTACTTAAATGTAATTTTTAGTTTTAGGAAATAGTATTTAATTAACTGTACAGTTACACAGTATTTATTTGGTATTATTTGTACTCGGAATGAGTTAGAATGAGATTTTTTTTGTTCCATTACCGAGCTCTTTTTTTAATTCTCCATCACAAAAGCTTCAAAATAATATCAGGATTTCCAGCTCCATTTTAATATGAAGAGGAATCCCCAAGCGTCAAAATGACCCGAGCATTGTATGAAGGGATTTCCCAGGGCTACAGCCAGCAGAAAAAAATTGTCACTTTTAAAGGAAGTGATTAGAATTAATTTTGAAGACATCCATATTAAAAAAAAAACCCCATCCATTTAGTAGATAGGACGATTCACATTTTAATATCTTAATGGACTTGTATTTTTAATCACTGCAAAAATTAACGCTCATTCAGATTCATTTTGTCAGCACAGGCCACATATTTCTTTATGTTTTAGTAGTTTTGTGACAGAATAACAAGAGTGAAATGTGATGTTTATAACAGCTGAGACCTGCTGTGGTGCGAGGCCGTGATTTTCATTTGGAGGGACAGAAAGGACAGGATTAGAGACAAGCAGCTCAGAGACGACTAGAGGACATGTAGAGATGGTTTGGATACACTGCCTGGACAAAAAAAGGTCACATTAATATTTTGTTGGACCTTTGATTACATCATGCATTCGCTGTGTCATTGTTTCAATAAACTTCTTCAATGTTAGATCCATTTTCAACCAGTGTTGCATTAATTTTTCACCAAGACCATTGCGTTGATGACGAGGCACTAGGCATGATGGGTGCATCACTTCACCTGCCCCTCTTCTTACCCCGATGCAACCATCACTCTGGAACACGGTAAATTTGGACTCAGACCACATGACCTTCCATTGCTCCAGAGTCCAATCTTTATGCTCCCTAGCAAATTAAAGCCTTTTTCTCTTCTTCCCCGGTTAGCCTCACTGATTAGTGGTTTTCTTTAGACTACACAGCTGTTCAGTCCCAATCCTTTGAGTTCTCTTCACATTGTGCGTGTGGAAATGTAACTTTCACTATTTAACAGCCCTGAGTGTTAATGTTCAATTTGAGTTCCAAACGTTTAAGTGATCGCCGATCACGATCACTCAGGATTTTTTTCCGGCCACATTTCTTCCTGGAAGACGATGGGTCCCCACTATCCTTCCAGTTTTTTTATAATGCGTTAAGATCGTTCTTAACCCAGTTTTAGTAGTTTTTGCAATCTCCTTAGTTTTCTCTGCTTGATGCCAATGATTTGACCCTTCTCATACAGACTGACATTTTCCACGACCACGTGATGCATCTTTCAACATTGTTGTTTTAAGAACTAACCAACTCATTGCACCAGTTGGGGTTCAATAACTTATTGCAGCTTAAAGATAATCGTCCATGTAGGAGGCGGCTCGTACCCATTTGCTTATAAATCCAGGTGGAGATTTTTGGGCTAGGCGGTGCATGTGTAAGTTGTTGTAACATCCTTTAACATGTCTATGTCCAGTCTTTTGATCTTTTATCTGCAAGATTTTTTATAAACACCATTTCTTCAGAGTCACCGAAAAAAAAAAAAAATGTTTGCATAAGCCGTGACTGTATGACATTTACATTTGGTATTTTAGCTGCAAGACTTTGTCTCAGATTCACATAATATCCATTGAATTCATTCACCATTTCATTTTGATCATAGATTTTCTACCATCAGTTGATAATCAGTTGTGGCACCTTTGAACACTTGGTGAACAAAAAGGCATAAAAAGAGTCCTTTTGTTTATAAAGGTTGACGACCCCTGGTTTAGGTCATTTCAAGTGGTGATTAATTCAACTAAAATTATGTATTTTTAGTTGTGCCACCAGTTTTGTCAGTTTGTGCAGTTTGTATTTTAACACAGGAGGGCAGCACAGACTCAGAAAAGCTCAGTCTTCAGTTTTTGATCAAAGTGAAAGAGTTTTCTCCCTCCAAGCTGTCTGCATTAATAATATGTCCAGATGACCTGAATTAACCTTGTGATTCATTCACTAGATTCAATTAAAACCCATCAAACACAGCTCCAACACTTAATTCACCTCTTAAATCTTTTATTTGTTTGGAAGAAAATTAAGTTGGTGCTTTGTGGAATTGACCTCAGATCTGTGCCAAAGTTGTTAAAATCTAATGTTTCATTAATGGGTTTCAGTTAATGGTGTTTGAAACCATCTGCAGGAGTTTACTGGGAGGGAACACAGTTTTTCCAAGTTTAGGATTCAGAAAGGATGCAAGAAACGCGTGAAGGTTTTTGTGTTTAATTTATTGGATGCTGGCATAAAGTTGGTCGATGTGAAGCTGGAACAGAGATTTGAGCTCGGCTCTTTTGGCCTTCAGGGTGGGGGTCAAAAGGCCGTTCTCGATGGTGAAGAGCTCAGGGTGGAGGTGCACGACCTTCACCTGCAGGGGAGACGGAACAGGTGAGGATGAACATTTTTAAAGATTTGAGACGCAACCATCCGGGAATTACCTGTTCAAAAGACTTGAGACCCGCTTCTCTTCCGAGTTTGGTCATGTCTGAAACTATCGCTTTCTTAATTTCCTGAAGAAATAAATATATTTAAGGATTAAACTCAGTGCTTTTCAGTAAATTCACAGACACGTTCGTTTAATTACAACCGCTGCTTACCGTGTTCTTGCAGAGTTCCTCCATGGAGCCTTGGACGCCGAGACTTTTTGCAAGGCCCGGCAGAACGTCGGCGTCCGGGACCACCACAGCAACCAGGCAAGACTTCAGAACGAGCGGGAAATGTTAAAGATCGAAGATGAACGTTTTTAAAACTCGAAGCAAAAAGACGAGCAGTTTTACCTGCAGGCTGTCTCCGTGCACAAAGACCTGAGCCACGGGGCCACTGCGAACGTACACGTTTTCAATCTTCTCCGGTGCGATGTACTCGCCCTGAGCGAGCTTGAAGATGTTCTTCTTACGGTCGATTATCTTTAAAACTCCACTCTGTCCCAAAAAAAAAAAAAAAAAAAGTCAACTTTTGTTCTTGAACTGTGGAGATCAGTAGAGCGTTTTCGGAGTCGCTTCAGTCCAAATAAGTCTAATAAAGTGGGAAAATACAAATATTGTCACTTCGCATCTATTATGATTCATCGCTGACAACCTAGAAATGTGGGCCGGTGTGCCAAAAAAAAAAAAAAAAAAAAAGAAAAGAAAATCTGCTGCAGGAGCATGCACGGGAGGACTTTACCAAGATTAACACTTAATTTGTTTGCTCAAAATTATAGTAAACTGTGTGCGAGTTGAACTTTTCTTAATAAATGGAATTTAATAGTCATATCAGCTGATTTCACATTTGCTTCTGGAATTCCAGAGAAAGATTAAGGTGGCTTGGTATGGCAAGCCAAGTGTCTCATTAATAACCACTTTTCCCCATTAATGAGACTTTGCCATACAGGTTGAGCGCCCTCTAGTGGCTGAAAATGGTAGCTTTCAATATTTTCCATGTCAGAATGAAATTGTTAAATCTCAGCAAAAAATTTAAAAAAAAAAATTTACAATACACTAGAGCTGAAAGATAAAATTACAAGTGGATTCAGGCTCATTTCAATAAACATTTACAGGCAAATGCTCCCAGAAAGAAGCTATGAGAAAAGAAACCAGGTGCACACCCAGGCAGGTTGGAGAAATTTGATCAAAATGTTGGGACACGTTTACTTGAAAATCCTACACTTTGAATTCAAACGTGTGGAATATTTAACACCAAACGTGTCATTTTAGGGAAACCGTCTTTACTTTAGGTCAAGGGTCTGCAACCTGTGGCCATACGAGTCTTTAGTCTCGTCTGTGGCTCTGAAGCTTCGACCAAAACTTCCAGGAAATGCATTCGTTCTGGTTTTTATACCCACAAAAACCTTGTTTTGGTAGTTAATTTTCTGCAAAATGTTTGAGCAACACCCTTTGCTTCATTACTTAAGTGGGATACTTAATTTCTGCTCACAAAAGGCCACAGGCCTGCGGAGTGTAGAAACTAGAAGTTTTTAATCAGTTATTTTAAAAATTGTACAGAATTTCCATATTTATTGACGTTTACATGTCACCCCCACATCAGAAAAGTCAGCTCCAACTACCTCGAAGTGGCCCATGAGCCACCAGTTGATAATTAGTCATGTGGCTCCGGTCTAATGAGTGAAGGGGCAGAAATGGCTCTTTGATCTAAAGGTTGCAGACCACCGCTTTAAGTCTAAACATGAACAATCGAGGGTCTGATCCATGTGGTGCCGGCGGTAATGGTTGAATTTATTCAGCTTGTTGTGTTTATTAGGCCCATTTATTTTATAAAACCAATTAAAACAAATACAAAAGGAACAAAATAAAAGAGTTCTTACTGGAAGCCATTTTCCAATATCCCCAGTGTGGAGCCAACCATCTTTATCTAAAGCCTCTGCGGTCCTCTCCGGGTCCTTCAAGTAGCCTTTGAACACATTTGTACCCTTGATGCAAACCTGGGAACAGAGAGAAAGTAATGGCAAAACTTGTGAAAAGACTTTGATTTTAACCTCAAGCACATTTACGTGCATCATGTTCAGATTTGGAACAAGTCCTGCACGTTATTATAACCTGTTGCAGCGCTTAATCGATCCTTGAACGCACCTCCCCTTCACCATTTGAAGCAAAGTAGTTCATTTCTTCAACATCAACCAGCTTCAGAAAGTTACAAGGCAGCGGCACACCAACATGACCTGTGGGGGGGAACAAGAGTTTCACTTACTCCAGTTCAAACCATTAATGAGCAGAAAAAGCAGCAGCACTGGTGGAGCTTCTTACCGACTGAGGCGTCTCCTGGCATGGTGAAGGTGCAGGCGGCTGCACACTCCGTCTGACCGTATCCTTCAAAGATCTGAGGCACAGACGTAAATCATGTAAAAAAAATAAAAAATACTGTATTCAAGTCTGTCAGTGAGCGACGCAGGAGATTCAGCTTAATTCACTTAGAAACAGTCAAGACGATGTTTTAACCCAGAGACTAAAGCTGAGGTCAGAAAGAGTGCTAGATTCAACACCCCTAATGTTAAAATAATTTAAGACACTGGCCTAGATCAGATTCTGCAGCTTGTATGTACAGAAACTAAAGCTCGTCATTAATTTTGCCGTGACAAAACTGACTTCAGGCAAAAAATGCGATTAAAATTATAAAATAATGTTTATACTGAAATAACTCAACGAGGCTTCACGTGCAAGATGAGCTCAAAGGTTAGAACTTGCGAGTTACTTGTTTAAAAGTTTGTGGGGGTGAAAGACAAATTGTAAACTTAGGTTTTATTACAATAAAGCAGCATAATAGGCTTGTTATGGAATTTTAGGAGCTTTTAAAGTGTAAATACTGAAAAAAAAAAAAAAAAGTTTTCAGTGTGAACAGAGAATTTGAAGAAATTACCTTTTTTTTTTTTTTTTTTTTTTTAAATTAAAGTGGTATAATAGTTAGTGGGGCTCATTTGTCATTACCTGGCAGCCCAGAGCGGCCCTGAGGAAGGTGAGGACAGACGGTGATATGGGTGCTGCTCCGGTCACCATGATCCTCACACGACCGCCCAGAGACTCCTGAGTGAATCAGAAGAAGCTTTATCGTCATTGCACAGTGACGTACGGTGAAATTCCGTCGTGCAAAAGATTGGCAGAGTGCACAAAACCATGATAGTGGGTATTAAAAAATAAAATCACATTTAACATTACATATGCATTTGATGACAAAACGATTTGTCCATGAAACGCCTCCAGATAGCGCCATAGTCCTGATAAGATGTCAAACTGTTTTCAGCCGGTACAGCTCTGACAAGTGTTCAGAGGAGCACAATCAAACCACACGACCAGGACCACCTGCGTGTTCACGATCAGCACCTGGACTTTGTTGAAGATGAGTTTGTCCCAGACGCTGTTCTTCCTGATGACGCCCTCCTTCACCTCGGCGTATTTCCTCTCCACGGCGAAGTTCAGCAGCCATTTTTTGAGCGGCGTCGAGGCTCCGCTCTGAACCTGGTGGTGGAAACCAAAACGGTTGCACTTCCGCCTCACGCCGGGTTTAAACTGTGCCGTTTCAAACACGGATGACCAACCTTGTCGTACACGCGGTTGAGAAGTCGAGGCACCACCGGGAAGATGGTGGGCTGCAGCGTTTTCATGTCGTCTGGCAACAGCCGGATGTCCCCCTGGAAGAACCCCACCCTGGCTCCAGAGCCAAAGACCACGATCTACATTAAACAGAACACAAGTCCAGCACATCTTCACAGGGAGGGCTTCAGATCAGAGCTCGCTGCCGCTCGACTCCTACCTGCACGATCCTCTCAAACATGTGCGCCAACGGCAGATAGGAAATGCTGACGTCCTCCGTGGATGGAATGACCGATGACTAAAGAGCAGAAGCTCTGGTGAGCTGAACCCAAAGTCACTTTTTAAAAAAAGATGCATTAATGAAACTTACCTCAAAGGTTTTGATGACACCGGCAGCATCAGCGACCACATTTTCATGGGTCAGCATGGCTCCTTTGGGGCTTCCTTAAAAACAAACCCTTCAGTTAACTTCTGGTAATCAAGTCTAGAAACTAAAGTCTGGTTTAGAACCGTTTGTGTCGCCATTCGTTTTATTATTGGACAAGTTCAATGCAACGAGCGGCCCATTATCTCATGCAGGAAGTGTTTAAAGCTCCTTTTTATCAACAGGCAGTCTCATCTGAAAACTTTGCTTAATGTAGCAGGTTTATCAGTACGCTACGAACCAAAACCTAAAATATTCAGTCTGGCCTTACAAATGCACATCACAACATGAGGGGCCTCAGAGGCATAAAGAGACTAGTTGTGCCATCAAGAATCAAAAATCTGAGAGGTCCCAGAAGATCCAACACACGACTGATTAACCAGTTTGATCAGGCTTCGACTCATACTGGTAGGAGTGTGACCCCAGTTATTCCTAACTCAACTGTAGAAACATAAGCTATTGAATAAGTTTCACAGTATTTAACAAAAATAAAAATAAATAAATACCACTTATGACCCCAAGCTTTACAGATTGCATCATCTCTCCAGTTTTAGTTTCACTCCATTCACCCTTTGTCAAGTCCAAAATTAAAATTAAAAATCTTTATACCTACCTCTCAACAACCTAGCTCCATCTCATTGGAGCTTATTGTTCCATTTTTTTTTTAACACGCTTTGCTCTCAGACTGCAGGTTTACTTGTTGTTCCTAGAGTTTCCAAAAGCAGAATGGGAGGAAGGTCTTCCAGTGATCAGGCTCCTTTCTCGTGGAACCAACTTCCAGTTTCTGTCCGTGAGGCTGACATTGTCCAGTTTTAAAGACTGGGCTTAGACTTTCCCTTTTGATAAATCCTATAGTTAGGGTTGGTTTGGGTTTCCTGAGCTATCCCTTTGTTATGCTATAGGCTTAAGCTGCTGGAGGCTAAACTGACCACATCTTCACTCTGCTGCTGTTTTTACTTTACCAGTTTTGCATTTATAGATGGGAGACTGATGAAGATTCATCGAGTCTGCTCTTCCTAGAGAACTTCACTAATTGGCTTTTAAATGCATGAAGGATTCTGTTCAGCGCTCCGAGACGACTTGTGTTGTGATTTGGCACTAGATAAACTGAATTACAAGCAATCCCATACATTTTTAGATGTAGTTCGAGTTCTGGGGATAGATTCAGGACCAGAATGTCGTTTGATGACCTACAAAAAAGGATCCAGACCTCAACTTTGAGAGATCAGTTTATATTTTTTAATAGCAATAATTCACAACTAAAGTCATCTCAGGGAACAAATGTTTGCATGCAATGTAAAATGCTTTGTTCAAGGATAGCAGGCTGCTTCGTAGCAGTCAACCATCCTGAGCAGCATGGCGACAGTGGAAAGAAACTCCCCTTTTAAACAGGAAGAAACCTCCTGCAGAACCAGAACGCCTCTACCAGCTGGAGAACCACCGCCTTAAAGCATCTTGGTGTTTGCACCTTAACTCATCGTTTGTGGACATTTGGTCTTTGTGCAACCAAACCTGCAAAGTGTGGTTCATAAATAAAGTTGGGTTCCTTTTTTTATTACACCAACGTCTCACCTGTAGTGCCGCTGGTGAAGCAAACGATACTGAGGTCCTCCGGCTTCGGTGGCTGTTGGGTCATGAAACAAAAAATTAAGATAAAGACCAAGAAGATTCCTGCATGAACAATAGTGACCATTTAAAAACTTACAATGGGCTTTTGTGGATGACTTTTCCCCAGCGCCTGGTGTGCACAGAGCAGAGTTTCAGCTGCGTTCAGTGAATCTCATCAGTTTAGATGTTTAGATGCCGTTACCTCCAAGTCCTGCATGGACATGATGTCCACCCCACACTTGGCTCCACGCTCAACCAGCTCTGGGCTGAAGGCGTCCATGACGACGATAGTTTTCAGAACCGCCGTGTGGCCTTTTTCCCGGTTCTCCAGCAGAATTTCTGCCTTCTTCTGATTGTCGCAGAGAACCGTGGAGATGTCGGCTGAGGATGAGGGAAATGGACAAAGTGGGTTCAGAACTGCCACATCGAGCACATGATCAGGCTTTTGAACAAACAGGTGGGATCAGTCAGATTAAAATCCCTGACAGAGCCCGGTGGGAGCAGGGAGTTACCGGACTTCTCTCGTCCTTTAATGCCAATTACAGAGCTGAGAAGCTCCAATTACCTCGGTCGATGATGAACACGAGCGCCTCAGGACCCAGCGTGTCGTACAGAGGAACCACCACCATGGAGTAGGTGTAACACGCCAGCTCGCCGATGATCCACTGCGAGCCAAAACGAGAACGGTGAGACGTGCAGCACGTTGAAGTAAAAAAAAAAAAAAAAAAAAAAAAAAAAAAAGTCATCCAGCAGCAGGAGTCCTACCTCGGGTCTGTTCTGAGCGAAGATGCCGATGAAGGTGTCCGTGTTGGGCCTCAGACCTCGGTGGAGCAGTCCTGACCCGAGATGTTCGGCTCTGTCAGAGACCTCCAGAAACAAAAGGAAGCCTCATTCAAATTTATAAACCTTATATTCATTAAGGTTCATTGTCAATTTTAGAAAATGAAAGGATTTCAAGCGCGCCATAGTCAAAAATATGGTATTGAAAGCCCTCCATTTTTAATTCATAAAGACTTCTTAAATAAAAACCATTTGTTTTGACTTCAAACGTTTTCTTTAAATTAAAGTAGCATTCAGAAGAAGTGGGTAAAGGCAATTGATAATTCCTTGGAGCAATTCATTGCAGGTCAGAGTTTTACAAGCAGCTCTTATGCGATCCATTAGCTCTCAGTTTATGTGCTGGAGACGACTCTCTGCTACTACCAGACCAAGCTTAAGCTCAATACCTGCAAGGCAGATCAAATTATAGCCATTTCTGTGCTTGGTTTGATTAGCTTCAATGGCAAACCAAAAGTTAATCTGTTAGTTTAAATCCAGTGATAAGTTCTGTTTATATCCATCCAATTAGTTATATTTTATTAAGACAGGCAATTACCAGGTGATGTTAAGGAGCCAGACAGCCCATGATTTCCAAAGTCATACAAATTCTGTTAAATTTATACACAGTTTAAACAAAAGATGATTGAAGGCAGTTCAACTCATTTGAGTCGTTTATTGAGTAGATAGTTTGGTTTACCTGTCTATACTTGATCCATTGGTAAGGCTTTCCTTGCTGTCTGTAGCCCAAACACGGCCCGTTTCCTGCAAATAATGCCAGATTTGTAACCGATCAGAACAAATTCATGTCAAACATCTCGCATGAGGTTGAAGAAGAGTTTAGACAAAACCAATAAAGCCAAGTTGAGTTCAGATAGAGTTCTGTTTAAAATTGGAATTAAAACCTGCCAGCATTAAAGTCATTTGTCCCCAGATGCTTTCGTCCACATAACCTTTTGTTTTAATTACTTTGAAAAGCAGTGGTTCCCAACCATGGTCCTTGAGGAACGCCACCCTGCACGTTTCATTTTCCCTGCTCCAACACACCTGATTCAGAGATTTGATTACTTCCTGATGTTCTGCCAAAGCCCGTTGAGCACCCCTTCATTCAAGTCAGGTGTGTCGAAGCAGGGAACCAACAAAAACATGCAGAGTGGTGTTCCTCAAGGACCAGGGTTGGGAACTTTAAATTTTCTATTTATGGATCAACAGTTTAGGATTTTAAATATCATCATCATCATCATCATCAAAATATTAATATTTAAGACCTATTAAAAACTTCCATGCACGCTATTTTGCATAAAATATATTTTAAAATAAAAAATAAATAAAAAAAAATCGCTCACTGAAATAAGCTATAAACTCATCAATTCAAAAAGGAAGTATCATGCATGAACTGAAAATCAGACTTCATTAGTGTTGTGAAAGTTGTACGAGATTCTTACCTGAAACTTTTAGGCCTCTATGAAAAACCTCGTACAGGGTTTTGGCATCACTGCAGTAAAATGACGTCAGGTTGTTGTTGTCCTCCAGCAAGGCAGATTTTCTGGCACCATCCTGCAGAGAAACAGAAGCAACAGTTTGTTGCAAAACAGAGGCATGAAAAGCTTTTTGTGATCTCTCGTTTCTAATACAAGTCTACAGCGCAGCTCCTCAGCGCTCACCTTGATGCCTAAAGTTTGGCGGTTGAGGTCAGCTGGGCTGCGGAGAGGACTGGGCCGGGAGTTCAGGTAAAACAGGGTCGCAACTCCAACAGCGATTAGAGAGATGACGACTGGGGTGGGGAGGGGAGAGAACAGCAACTGGAAGATGAAGTCCATGGTGGTGCAGGGCCGGCTGGGAGGGGGGAAAGCTGTCAGGTTTATCAAGATCTACAACTCATTACACAGAGTCATAAAAAGGTCAATTTTACATCTGTTATGCAATTCTGGGCTCGCTCACTCCACTCTTATTGTTGCTGTAACAACTCAAGTACAAAGTCAACGTGAATTGTACTTTAGAGATAAGGAGCTCCGCTCAGGAAAATGTAAACACGTTACAGTGCACATACAGTGACGGATGGACATTTTTAAATATCGATTACAGATGCATGCATTTGTAAGAAAAGGAGGGATGCAAACTGGTAAAAATAAAAAACTACAGAGTTTGCCTTTCAGATTTTCAGAGAACTCCTATGGTGCTCAGAATATGCATTAGAGACCAGTCTCGGCCACGACCACAGCAAGAATTATGTCTGTTTCTGTAAAATTGACTCCGTTAAATCCATTATTTTGTGGTTTTCATGGTCTTTAAAGTGCCATGTGTTAATGTAGGTTTCCATACAATGACAATATCAGGTCTCTGCTTTTAACCCATCACACGTGGGCAGCCATGTACCGTATTTTTCAGACTATAAGGCTCACCGGATTATAAAGCTCAATATCAATGAACGGGTCTGTTCTCATACATAAGAGGCACCTGATAAGGTTCATTAAGTGAAACGAGTAAGATAAATAAAAAACTAAAAAATAAAACTGATTTGAGGTCAGTAAGCACAACCAGAATACATAAAAGGTGCACCAGATTATCCACCGTTGAGTTGAGAAAATTAAAAGGATTAAGTGCGCCTTAGTCTGAAAAATACAGTAAGTGCCTGGGGAGCAATTAGGGATTAGGCTTCTTGCTCAAGGACACCATGGCATGTGGGCATGACAGAGAGTTGAACCTGCGACTTTCTGGTCCCCAAGTCTGGTGGCCCTACCTCTGCACCATCTAGGCCCAACTCGACCATCTGTGGCAGCCATCTTGAATTAATTCGGCTTTAAAAAGTACCTAAATTATCAATCTCCATGGAGTGATTATTTTCAGAAAGTTTCAGTGAAATCTGTTCAGTTCAAAAGATTTTAAAACAAAATGCGCACAAGGAAGTGAACGGATAATTTCAGATTCATTCAACAAGACTTAGATTCAGTTTAAGACTGATGTCCCTCCACTCCTACCTGCCGCTGGTCCTCTCAGGTGTGTGCACAGCAGATCCTCTTCTGCTCTGAGGAGAAACACACGGAGAACAAGAACTCAAAAACAGCTGACTGACAGAACGTGTGAACTTTGACCACCTTCACTTCCCCTGATAAACGAGCATCAAGTCGCCCTTCGTGTCATATTAAGGCACCGGTTGAGCAACACGTCAAACAGCTGCAGAGTTTCTTTGTTCCTTCTTGTCAGCTCTAAATGAGTTTATCTTTCTGGATCGAACTCAAACACTTTTATCTGTGGCAATGACAAAAATCCAAGATGCTGCACCTGATGAAAGGTCAATCATTTTATCTGCGGTTTCTTGTTCAAAGTCCCAGTATTTCGAGAACTGAAGGTGGAACGAGTTGCAAATCTCAAACTTTACAAAAAAAAAACACAAAAGGTCAACTAGAGAGTTCACGTTTTGTGGAAATGCACTCGGAGCTGATAAAATTCATTGAAGGAGGCAAAACTTAACTCTCAGAAAGGATGACTAAAAGCTAAAAAGTGCCAGATCAGTTGTTAAATACTAAATTTAGCAAATAAATCCAGATTGCCAAAGTGAATTTCAAAGAAAATATTGTTTAAGGAATTAAATTCTTAATGCATTTATGGGGAAAATGTTTGTAAATATTCTGAAGAGTATTAAAGTTTGAAAAAAAAACAAACAACCTCCAGTCATAGCACCCATTTTCTGAATGAGCCGAATATTTTAAATCAAAAATATAGCTCAATAGGCCAATATGCAAAAACGATTAATAAAAACATGTTTCTTTAAGCGCTTACAGCCAAATCACTGATGAATCTTTGAAAAGGCCAAGGTGCATCTCTGATTGGATTAAAAATCAAAGAGATAATGTTCGGTGAACCGCATATTCCAAGATTGAATTAACAAAACTGCATTAAAAAAAAGTAGAAATTGTACAAAACAATCCAAATTAGAAGTTTTTTTTTCCCCTTTAAAAATGTGACCTCAGGGCCACAGATTCGAGCAGCGTAAAGGTAAAATAATTCTCATTTCTGTGAGACACGAGGGCTGTAGAGTAGATGTTCATTAAGGAGGTTACCTGGTGGGATTAGCAGCTGTAGTTTGGGATCAGGCTGAGCACAGAGCTCCCTGAGGAAAAGCAGCTGAAGCCAGCAACACCACTAAAGTACACCACAGCTGCCTGCTGTCATTAGCACCTTAAACTGCACACAGGTGTGACAGCTTCTCAGCACCAGTCAGGGCTCAACCTGCCCTCTCCAGTTTCTGCACAAAAACACACCCAGGAGAGCTCCAGCCGTTGGGTTTCTGCAGCGTCACCTTTATTTTCTTTGATTAAATTAGCTCCCTTTCTTCAAGAACATCATTTATCATTTTCCTGCCTCTTTTCCTTTGTGTTTTAATTTCTCGAGCGTCGTTCTGTTACAAGTAAAATGAATTACTGCGAGTTTTCACACTGGGTTTATGGAAGTGATAACCTAAGCTATAAACGCAGAACCTTTGGAATTAGCCGTGGTAGTTAAACCCGGATCGAGAACATTTAAATCTGTTGTACTATATCCGATAAAACAACTAATAATCGTGATTTTTAAAAAAGGGCTTTTTAGCCTTGATTTAAAATTCATGAGGCACACTGTGAAAACTCATGTTCAGACCTAATCCTGTTAAATTTGACCTGTTAAAAATGCTAAAATTTCAACTTTTTGATTAGAAAATAAAGGAAAATACAAAATTTCCTCTCTGTGTTTACACTTCTCACAATAAAACCTGATAAACGCATTTTAAATAAAATATTTGATCAAATGTGTGCTTTAAATCCTGATACAAACCTGAACATTCGGTTTACCAAGTGTTTTATTACTTTAACTTGTAATAAAGTTAATAATTTCTTCTAATGAACCGTGGAATTAATCTGGACTTGAGTAACTTTAACCCACAGGGAAATAACGGAAGTAAAAACTGAAGGAAAAATACAAATCAATAATTGACATTATTGGATTTCTTCAGCAGCTGTGATTCTTTGCAGAGTAATTCTTGAGTTGTTTCATGTTTGGGGATCAATCCAATCACTTGCATGTGTAATAAAGGTCATCTAACCTCAGGGTCTACCAACAGACCTGGACATGAAATGAAACATACAGGGTTCAGGGATCCAGCTGCACCAGACTGTGCCCCATTTACAGCTACAGTAAGAATTATGGCTCGGATCAGATCATTTGGATCAACTTACCAAGAGGAGCCAGCTCTTCCAGCGCTCAAAAAGCTCTTCACTTTGGGTTTTGTGCAAAAATTTGCGAGCTGAAAGTCAACAAGATGTCATGTAATAATTTGTGACTTCAGAGTGTTCTTGGTTTTATTAATTTTGCCAGATAAATATTGTGCACATGCTCTGTCTTTGTTCTGGAATAACTCTGAGAACAGTCCCACACAAAACAACCCAGGAGGGGTTGTTTTAAAGGTCCCATGCGTGTTGTGCAGTGCCATCTAGTGGCAAAACTTGAAATTGCAGCTAATTAAAGCTCATTGAAACAACTCATTTGTCAGAATCACAATCAGAATAAGCTTTATGATCATTGTACCGAAAATTAGTGAAATTATGTTCATAGTCGTCCAAAAGATGGGCGGAATGCACGTTGCTGCTGCTACAGGAGCACGGCCCCTTATCCTTTTCAGAATGCTTTTTTAGATAAAGATAAACACATTTATAGACACGTTACATGTGCATTTGACGTTAAAATGGTGAGATTTGTCCGTGAAGCACTTCCAGATAGCCCATAGTCCTGATAAGATGTTGGTCAGCTGGCACAGTTCTGATAATCATCCACAGAAGTGTGTGTGTGTGGTGGTGGGGCGTTGCGATAGACAAAGCTTTTCCTTAGCTTACACATTTCCCAGGAGAAATTTCATAAATCAGCCTGTTTTCAAGGCCAACCGGGGGAGTCCGATTCAGATAAGCCACAATTGTTGATTTTTTTCAGGCAGACTGTTTTTTTTCTCATCAGCCTTGAGTCCTGCTGGAACTTTCAAGATCCAAAATGGCCAGATTAGTGGGCATTCCACTGGTCCGTGTTTACAAGGCTCCTCCAAGGTCATCCGCAACATGCTGGCTAGTCTCAGAAGCTGCAGGTGATCTGCGATTCTCACAAATCGCTTCCATCTTATGGTTTAGCTCGTAAATCAGCTGATTTTGAGTACTCAAAGCATGAACCAAACCTTCACACAGACTCTGCAGTTTTGCCACGGCCAAAACTGCTGCCGCCATCTTCCTTAATAGCTGAAAACATAGGAATCTGCTGATGCCAGAAAGCAGCAACCCTGCTGTCACGAATCAAATTATATAAACGTCTTCAGCGTCCTCCTGAGACAGAACGGAAAGACACATCAACTCCCAAACTCCCCACAGATCCATGACTTATCCTAGCCGCAGGAGTCTCAGCGGGGCATGAGGGCTCTCCAGCACCCTGTCGCTTTGTTGAAAAGATTTTATCGATTGCGTTGAAAGTCCAGCTGATCAGATCCATGACAGTAATTTTAGCTTTGGAAGATGTGCAAAATAGGGGCTCCGATACACAAGACAGAGAGCAAAATAAACTTTGTGTTGTACTTTGAATGCATGCTTTGATATACTGTATATAGTTCCCACACCCTCGTCCGGTATTGCGCAATACCACTTTTCAGCCATTTTATAGGCAAGCACTAGACGACGCTCATGATGGCTTTCAGACAGACCAAAGTAAAGTATCTCTTTTTTTGTTTGTTTGTTATTTGGGGTCAAGTTGAGATGGTTCTTCTCATCCTGAGCATTTCATTGCTTTGTTGACATTGTGTTGACCTGCATATGACAAATAAACAATAAACAAACATAAATACAAACATATTTTTGGGTACCATTTTAAAGATGAACATTCTTAGCAGTATAGTTTGAAACTTCAAGCCTACAGGCCTTTCATCAACCTTCTTCTTCTTGTGTTCCCTCTTCAGTTGGTTTGGTGTCCCTGTGTGCACCAAACTGAACATGGAGCAGAGAAAACAAAGCTTAGAGCAGTCTGAGGAGCTCAGAGTGAAGATTATAGATATCCATGTTAAAGGTAAAGGGTACAAGACCACCTTCAAGCAACGTCATGCTCCTCTGACCAAAGCTAACAAGATTATTAAACAGTACAAGGTTCGTGGGACTGTAGCAAATATCCCAGAATGTGGACGCGGGGGCCAATGCAACCCCAGGTTGATGAAACGGATGATGCAGGTGGTAGAAAAAGATCCAAAGAAGGTCAACGTGAACTCCAAAATTACTTTTTATGGCATTATAATCATGTGACCCCCCCCTTGACAGAAAAACACAAAGAAAGCCAAACTGGAATTGCCTGAAATCTTCTGGGAGAGGTTTCTGGGACTGACAATACAAAACTAACATTTCTTGGCTCTAGCCCATCATTTGTGCTTCTCTGAGTATTGTGGGAGCGTTCCAACAGCGTATTCATGTCTGTCAGAGGATTTTTAGGCAAGGTTTATGGATGTTTTTAACCACTATGGCTGCCCATGAACCATGTGTTTGAGTTATTCAGGGAGAGCTGAACGAGGAGCTGATTTGATCCTGCATGTACAGCTGGGTGGTTGAGGTCATCAGTGTCTGCCTGTGAGCCGGGAGCTGATAAGTGTCTAAAAACAATTCTCACACGCTGCTCGGGCAGATTCTCATCACTGGGCTCCACATGTGCAGAACTTCTGTACATCGGTGTAACCTGCTGTGAAAGTCTTCTCTTGCAAGTAAAACCGGAAGATATTTTTTATCCAACAGTATTCTGTCTGAGCTGCTGTAGTAACAGAACAAATTAACAAAGAGACCCAAGACGCTGCCACTTTGGACATAAAAGGATTATTCTCAGAGAAGAACACAACTCTGAAGATCATTGGTTTGAATCTCAAATCACCTTATGGGAAACAGTTGTCCTAAAAGTCTCTAAGGTGCTGAATACAATGTAAATGAACTGTGGACAGGTTATAAGAGAAAGTACAGTAAATGAGACAAACCTTTAAAAAAGTGTCAATTATCCTAAAGAGACATAAAATCTAATCAAGTGAGCTGTACCTCCCACTCTTCTCTGCAGATTTACATGATCTCCTCCCTAACCAACTGCTCCAGCATCACCAAGGAGGTTGAGTATTTAAGCCGAGCACATGCACAAACCCAAAGAAAGAGAGTGATGTCACGAACGTTGCACCGTTCCACAATGAGCCACGTTTTGTTGCTCGACCTGACGCTCATTCTGTCCGCTGCTGCCATCGTCAGCAACAGCAGCAACGGGTCCCAAACTCACAGGCTGCTCGTTGCCTTCCAGGCTCCCTGGAACATGTCCTTCCCCTTCAGCGCCAGGCGGCTGGGCTCGGCCATCCAGATAGCCGTGGAGAAGGTGAACAACAACCCCTCCTTCCTGGGGAACTACAGTCTGGATTTTGTTTACAAGGACACAGGCTGTAATCCCAAAGAGTCCCTGGGAGAATTCATCCAGCAGGTGTGGAGGGAAAACGTGACGGCGCTCTTTGGTCCAGCATGTCCAGAGGAAGCAGAGGTATATACGACTGAGTGTTCTTTATAGTTTATTGTTTGTTTACAAGGTAATAAAGCATGAATGAAACTTTATAATGTGTATTATCCTCTGACAACTGGTACAGACTTGTTCTGTACGATGGTTTTTAAGTGGTTATCAATAAGGCAATCCACCTATACTAATATTGTCTCTCGTTTGCTGCTTTTCATGCACATGAATATGTTTTTAATGTTTCCCCACGTGCGTTCATCGCATTACTGTTGGTAAAAATAACAAACTTATATTTGGGTCAGTGTGCAGGTGCGCCCTTATTTTGTTCTTGGTGTTTTCTGTAGTATAAAAAAAACACCACTTGTTTCTAAAAATGTGCTCAAATCTGGATATTTAGGTGAAGATGGATTATAAATAATAAAACTAAGAATTAAAAGTCTGGCAGTTATTCAAACAAGAAGCTCTAAAATGTCAAACATATACATCACCTCTCAGAAATGTATCAGTACAAGTAACATAACAAAAATACATTTATTACACCATAATCTACATATCTATATAAACTTTTTTTTTACACCAATGAACTTTAAGAAACAAAATCTTTTTAAAAAGCTATTTTAATACCAACTTGCCTGTTACGGTGCTCCTATTTGTTTTAAATTCAGTTTATTTTGTTGTCTGTACTTTATATGTTCTGTTTGGAGCAGGTTCCTCTTGTAAATGAGTCCCTGTGGCTCAATGAGGCTAGCCTGTATAAATAAAGGTTGAATGATTTTTAAATGTGTTGCAAAAATTACTAATTAATAGTATTTTTATTTAAATTGGTTACAATATTTGACATTGCTGCTTTTCAGTAGAATCAAAAATTAATTCATAAAATAAACATTTAGGTGATGATTTTCTTCTCTTCATCCTTGAGAAGTATAATATTATTAAAGGGAAGTAAAAAAGGACGGTGTAAATTTATAAAAATGTGATGTTTTAAAGTAAATTACATGTTGAAGCTGAACTAGCAACGCCTGAACAGAAAAAAATAATTTGAATTGTGTAAATAATAATTTAGTTTTATTTATTTATTCATAATTTATCATTAATCATATGAGTTATTTTTATAATATATATGTTTAATTTAATTTAAGTAATGTAAATGTATAACAGACAAAATAAATACAATACTAGAAAAGTTTATTGTTAATGTGTCTCCAGAGTAAAATATCTTATAACTAATCAAGACACTTTATTTTATTGTGCTTTTTCAAATAATGAACATATTTGTCTAAACTTTCTTGTTGTCAAAGTTCAAAGAAGCTTCAAAATATTGTAATTTTAAACGAATGATGAAATAAACATAAATTTATTGAAAAAATCAAAGACTAAATTTAATAAACCCCTGATCAGTAAAACACCTTTGTGTTTGGGAGTTTTCACAGCGACTGTCCCATAACTTATTTACTCAGCTTCTTCATTATTCAATCATTCATAATTATTCAATTATTCATTCATAATGTTTAGATATTTTATCCTATTTTTTGGTGGACTTGTAATTTTACTACAATGTTTTAACGTGACATCTTCGTAAAAGTATATTTTGTAGTTTTGAGATTTTATATAATTGAATAATGTAATGTATAATCAGTATATATTGTTTTTTTTATCCATTTCCAAGAATCTAGAAACGAGAACAACAAATAAACCATTTTTACACCCAAACTGAACTCCCTGTCATATTGAGTGAATTTATTGTATATTTTATATCAAAACAAAATTAAAAGCTGTCTATGACAAACAGAACAGTGATGAAAATCTTAATAATATCACCAATCACTGAGCGGCAAAAGGTGGGGGATAATGATGTTGTCATTATGGGTTCATTTATCTGTCTGTTAGCAAAATATTTAATGATTTACTGGATTGGCATTGATGTTCATTTACAACCTTGTTCAAGATGGCCGCACAGCTAATTGACCATAGCAAACACAACAACTATAACTCACTCAATTAAGATAAGACAAGACACGACACAACAAGACAAGACATGACACAACAAGACAAGACACGACAAGAAAAGATCAAATACGATACGATGCGATACGATGCAATACGATGCGATACGATACGATGCGAAACAATACGATGCGATACAGTAAGATACAATATGGTAAGATACGATAAGATGCGATACGGTAAGACACGATACGGTAAGATACGATACGGTAAGATACGATGCGGTAAGATGCGATACGGTAAGATACGATACGGTAAGATGCGATACGGTAAGATACGATACGGTAAGATACGATGCGATAAGATACGATGCGATACGATGCGATATGGTAAGATACGATATGGTAAGATACGATACGGTAAGATACGATACGGTAAGATGCGATACGGTACGATACGATAGAATTCTACAGATATTGACCTAAGATTTGATGTGGTGGCGGCTGACTATCTTATCAGCACAAACTGTGATAGTGCAAAATCTTGTGTTAAAGTGTGCATTCACACATCATTTTCAAGATTTCACTTTAATACTGTCATTTATTAAAACAATCTTAGTTTGGAAAACTGGTGTGGAAGATGGTGGGCAATATGCATTTCTTTAAGGGATGCTAGACCTTTCTTCTTCTTCTTTTCCCTCTTCAGGAGGTCTCCACAGTGAGTCCTTCTCCATTTCTGTCCTCTGCATCCTCCTCACTCCATACCTCCATGTCCTCTCTAACTGCATCCATATGTCTCGTCTTTGTCTTTTTCCTGGCAGCTGCATTTCTAACATCCTTCTACCAATATACCCACTGTCCCTCCTCTGGACATGTCCAAACCATCTCAGTCTGGCCTCTCTAACTTTATCTCTGTCATATAACCTACACTGTACCTCTGATTTAAGACTATTAATGTTCAACAGGTGACAGGTTTGATCGCATCAACATGGCACATCCCGATGTTCAGCTTCGTGGGTCAGTCCTCCAAACTGGACGACAATGACATGTACGATTCCTACATTAAAATCATGCCCCCTCTTAAGAGAAGTTCGGAGGTCCTGGTGAAGACCCTGGAGTACTTCGGGTGGAGTCATGTGGCGATGATCGGCGGGGGGTTGGAGTCTAACACTTGGGACAAAGTCGACGCTTTGTGGAGAACGGTGGAAAGCCCACTGAGAGCCAAATTCAAACTGACTGCAGAAGTGAAGTTCGACACCAGCAACCCTGATCTCATCTCTCAAAACATCAAGTACATCTCAACCGTCGCCAGAGGTAATGAACAAGTTTCTGTCGGTACCACAAAACAAACTTTTTACCTCTTTGTTCTTAATTTTACCTCCTGTTTAATCTAATTGAAGGGTATATTCAATGATCAATTCATCTGTTTTTTTACTTAGTGCCTTTCCTTTTAAATCAAGGCCTTAAAGAACATCTTGTGACCCTCTCCCTTCCAGTTATTGTGGTTTTGACGAACAGGGAAGACTCCATTTCTCTGCTGCTGGAGGCTGAGCGTCAAGGTCTGATGAACGGCGACTACGTGTTCTTCTTGGTGCAGCATTTTGAGGTAGTGAAGCCAAGAGGAATACAATAAATCAACAGATACATATGTGCATATTCAAGTGAGTAAACTGACCTGGATTTAGAACAGATGGTGGTAACGACACATGAAGATCAGGGTAAAGCAGCAAAAATCCAACCTCAAGTTGGAAACCACAAAAAAAAAAAAAAAAAAAACTTTTTAACCAAACATTATTTCTAATCAAACAACTACAAGGTGCTTTTCGTCAACGGTATCAAAATGTCTACAAAATTTACCCAAAACGTCTTTTTAAATTGTACTGATCTTTTTCTCCCAGCAGGACAACTTGTGGAAAAACGCCATGAACAGCAGGATGAGCCAAGCTGCCACAAGAGCGTTCGACATGACGTTCATTATTGGCCAGAAAACCTACGAAGGATACGAGTACTATGACTTCTTCAAGCAAGTATTTCAAAGGCTAAAAGGACATCCCTTTTGGAGTAACCTGACATCAGAGAATGAGGCAAGTAACGAACATTTTTAATGGAAGGTTGACCAGATTTTCCGCTAAATCACTTTTAATACAACACCCTTTATAAATGTCAGGTCAGCCCCTACTCAGCATATCTGCATGACGCAGTACTGCTTTATGCCATGGGACTGAAGGAAGTTCTGAAAGATGGGAATGACCCGTACGATGGCCGACTGCTTCTACAAAAACTGAAAACTACAGGCAACATTCGATTTCATGGTAACTATACGATGACTATGGTATCAATATGAACAAAAGAATGGATTTGCAATTTTTAGAGTTGTCTGGTATTCCTGATGTGAAGTACATGTGCGAAAAGAAACTTCAGGAAAGGATTTGGACAAAAGGTTATCCTGCTGACATCCCTGGTGTTCATCTGTAAAAATGCATATGCTAGGGCTATTCAAATAAATTGCTCAGGAGGTCTCAGTTACTGAAAGCCAAGAGCTCAGGGACCAGACATCCAGCGTTTATTGTCATTAAGTAAGTTTGTTTTATGGTTTAAAATCTAGTTTTATTTAAAAATGAACCCACTGGTGGTCCAAACTGAGCTCACCCGTGGGCCTGATGTGGCCCCTGGGCCACCAGCTGAATAGCCCTGTCCACATATCTATAGCCTGAGAGTGGTGGCATTCTTTCTCTAGGAATCTTGCAGACAGATTGATCAAATTTACAGAATTTGCACTGATTTAGTCCTTTTCATAAGCTGTCTCATGTAATCATGTCTCATCCTTTGCAGGTGCCTCTGGACTCGTTCATTTTGACGAAGATGGGGAAAGGAATGTGGACTATTCAATTTACGACCTGCAGTATGTAGGGAACACCATCTTGTTTGTGCCGATCCTCCATTTTGACAGTCTAACCAAAAGTGTCAGGTAACAAACAACTTTCAGTTAAACGTTAACGCTTGGATCCTTTTTCGATTAAAACACAATGATGGGCAACAAGAGTTTGAATGTACGATGGCAAACGCTCTAACAAAAGTTTTGAATTTCAGACCAACGTCTATGTTGGCTTCTGTGGTTTGGCCCAAAGGAAAGCCCCCCACTGATGTCCCAGAATGTGGTTTTAATGATGAACTCTGCGAATGGCTGACTAATGGTGAAGCTGAAGTACTTTAAAACTGACCTTACACTCTACATGTAAGCCACTCATAGTTCATTTCCCTGTCCTACAGAAATTGCCCTGCTGGCCATTCTGGTTACCTTCCCCATCATAGGTGTAGTGGCCATTTTGTGGATTGGCGTCCTCATGTTGCAGAAGTTTCAGCTCCAAACGAGGCTTGAGGACTCCAATTGGTGGATGATCAGCTACAGTGACATTACCATCATCAGGGAGCCCTCAGTATGAGCATTCAAGAATTGCTGGAGAATGCTCAACGTGGCAAATTTTTACTCAGGTTGGTGTTTTCTTTCCTCCAGGGTCACCAGGGTTCATCTGTAGGCTCCGCAGGAAGTCACAGTGGAAGCAGCAGCTGTCAGAGTTATTTTTCCAGCAACAGCTACGACCTGAGGGACAAGATGGGCAAAGAGAACATCTACACCACCATAGGTCTTTATCAGGTCAGTTTTAACCTGAGCTCATAGGGAGCAGACTATCGTTAGGGTTAGGGTTAGGTCATATTTAGTTTGTGTGCATATATATTTGAATTCTGTCAATCCAGGGAAATCAAGTGGCCATCAAGTACATCAAGAGCCCTGCAAGTCTTAATTACCAGAAACCTTCAATCGTCGCAGAGTTCAACGCGGTAAAGTTCCTCCTGTTGTTCTACATCAAACATAACTGACTTGATTTTGGTTTATTTATTTTCTGCATTTAGACTCAATGGCGTAAATATTTATTATTAATATATTTAATGCATTAAAATACAGTGATTTCCTCATTTCACTTAAACATTTGTGCAACTATAAAGATCCTTTTTAGATTTTGAAAATACCCACGTAAATGTGCGTTGGATACAACAGAGAACTGTTCACTGTGGTCACACAAAGATGCAGCTCCTCTGTGCCTAATTATCTTCAACTCTTTAAGAAAGATGAAAGAGATGAAGCATGAGAACTTGGTGCAGTTCTTTGGTGTCTGCATCGAGCCACCCAATATCTGTTTGGTCACCCAGTACTGCAAGAAAGGCAGCCTGAAAGTGAGTGGAAAACCTGAGTTTTTCCAAAAATAGCATTCAAATCGTAAGTGATCACATATTGTTTTGCTCATTTCATTTTTACAGGATGTTCTAAATGGTTCAGATGTTGATCTAGAATGGATGTTCAAGCTGTCGTTTGCATATGACATTGTCAATGTAAGTTGTTATTACGCAAAGTATTTAAAGAAGTAGCGGAGTAAAACTGAGAGACAAGTATAGACATAGTTTATGAATTCAGGAGGTTAATTGGTTTATAATTACCTTTAATTAAATGGAAAACCTGTTCAGTGCACTGTACTGTATACTGGTTATATAACAATAAGATGAATGCAAGAAATAAACAAGTATTTAAATAGTCCAATGAAAGCTATTCAATTTAACAAGTGAACTTTTCTTCTGTTGTTCTTGTGTGCTTCTTTATATTTCAGGGACTGGATTTTATTCACAAAAGCAGCCTGAAGTTTCACGGGAACCTGAAGCCCAGCACGTGTCTGGTGGACAGCCGGCTTCAGATCAAACTCTCTGGCTTTGGATTGTGGGAATTTAAATATGGAGAAAAAAACAAACTTGATTTAATAGAAAACCCCAATTACGAAGGTCTGAAATCAAATTGTTCAGTAATGATCAGACGTCAACCTTGTCACATCACAGAGAATGACGGGAATGCACGTGAAATAGTTTGAATTTCTTGTAGATCTGTACTGGATGGCCCCAGAGCTTCTGAGACATGTTGGTCTTCCATGTAATGGAACGCCCAAAGGTGACGTCTACAGCTTTGCCATCATCATGTGGGAACTCATGTACAACTCTAAAGCTGGTCCATATCAAGACATCAACCTGGACCCTAAAGGTTTGCGTAATTTATTCATTTTCTTTAAACACCTTCTATTGCAGTCTCCATGTCTTTAGCAACTGGCCTCAATCATCTAAAATAATGTGAGCATTCATACTGTAATGGTTTGGCAAAATATGTTCAACAGCACAAATGTGCTGCAATTATTGGAATAAATATAAACAGAGCAGCCAGGCGAAGCAGTGGTTAGAGCATGTCGCCTCGCAGCAAGAAGGTTACAGGATTGCCTCCCAACAGGGGGTCTTTCTGTGTAGCATTTTCATGTTCTCCTAATGCATGCATGGCTTTTTTCTGGGTAGTCCGGTTTGCTCCCACAGACCAAGCTTCCCAAGATGTGGTTGAAAACGTAAATGTTTGTCTGTCTCATTTGTCTCTATGTGTCCCTGTGATGGACATGCGACCTGTCCAGGATATACTCCACCTTTCACACAGACAGCTGGAGGTACAGGCACCAGCTCAGCCTGGAAAGAGAAAAGCGGGTATAGATGACAGGATGGATGGAGCATTCCTTTGCAATACTGATATTGTGCACATTGATATTTTCTTGGGAATATGTTATCACTCTTGCACAGTTCTACACTAAAAGGAATACTGTACACTAAAAAAGTTAGTTTTAAAACTTCATCATCGTATCTTTTTTTTTCTGTCTGGCTCTCGCTCGAGGTGGCTGTTTCCATCTTCCCTCCCCCCTTTTTTCCTTCCTCCTGCTTTGCTCTCTGTGTATCTGAAGCGCCTGGTACACATCTCCCAAACGTAACTTAAGATTATGGATCTGGTAACCTGGACTTTCAACAATATCAACAAATTTTTTTCAATGACAGGGTCCTGGAGAACGCACTTGCCCAGCTGAGACGCACACTGTGGGGTTTGTCATGGCTCCATGGGGAGTGTGGCAGTTGATGTGCCTCTCAGTCCTGTCTCACGAGGATGCTGAAAACGTTTACATATTTGGATTTATGATAGCAGGGACTCTGCTTTTTGGCATCGGCGGGGCTCTGTTTTATCGACTTTTGAAGAAGACATCAGCAGCAGTTTCGGCCATGGCAAAGCTTCCGAGTCAGCATGAAGGTTTGGTTCGTGTTGTGAGTACTCAAAATCAGCTGATCCCAAGCTAAACCGTAAGGTGGAGGCAATTTATGAGAATCGCAGGCCACTTTCTGGGACTTGTAAGCGTGGTGGGAGCGATCTTGAAAGAGGCTCATAACATGGATCAGTGGAATAGATCTCCATAATCAGGCCATTTTGAACCAAAAAGTTCAGAAGGACTCAAGGCTGATGAAAAAAATATGTATGCCTGAAGAAAATCAACAATCAAAGGAATCTGAATCTGACACCCGTTGGACTCGGAGACGGGCCGACTATCAAATTTCTCCTGGGTCATGGGTAACCAGGGATAGAAGCTTCATCTGTCTCACCCCCCAGAGAACTTTCTGTGCAAGCTTATCAGAACTTGCGGCTGAAACAACATCCTCAGAACTGTGGCTGATCTGAAAAATGCTCGTGGACAAATCTCAAGACCTTGATGTCAAATGCATATGTAATCATGTTTTTTAATGTGCTTGCTAGTAGAGTTTTTTTTGATGTCTCAAATCTTGTCCTGCCAAACAAGATGTGAAAGATCTTTTTTTTTGTAATACCACTATTTATCCTCATGGCTCTTCCCTTTTTCCTACAAAGTATTTAAATGTATTATTCTGAATAAGGATAAGAAAGGCCGCGCTTATAGCAGCAGCTTCGTACACTCAGTCCATCTTCCGGACAACTGTATGTACATGTTCTCGTTGTATCTCAGTGCAATAATAATAAAGCTTATTCTGATTCTGATTTAAAGGTAGTGACAATATTATCCCTAAATATCTATCCATCCATTACCTTCTATCTGTTCCGATGTCTGGTCTCGGGGGCAGCAGCTTAAGCAGGGAGATCCAAACATCTCTTTCCACAGCCACCTCTTCCAGCTCTTCTGGGAGGATCCCAAGGTGTTCCCAGGCCAACTGAGAGACATGGTCTCTCCATTATGTCCTAGGTCCTCCCTGGGGTCTCCTCCCAGTCGAACATGCCCGAAGCATCTCTCTAGGGAGGTGCCCAGGGTGGATCCTTACCAGATGCCCAAACCACTTCAACTGTCTCCTCTCGATGTGGAGGAGCAGCGGTTCTACTCCGAGTCTCTCCTGGATAACTGAACTTCTCACCCTATCTCTAAGGACTAGTCCAGCTACCCTGCGGAGGAAACTTATTTCAAGCGCTTGTATTCACGAGTTCATTCTTTCGGTCACTACCCAGAGCTTGTGACCATAGAAGAGGGTAGGAACGTAGACTGACTGGTAAGCAGAGAGCATTGCCTTACAGCTCAGCTCCCTCTTCACCACAACGGACTAGCACAGAGTGTGCAATACTGCAGATGCTGCACCAATTTGTCTGTCAATCTCACGCTTCATTTTTCCCTGACTCGTGAACAAAACCCAGAGAAACTTGAACTCCTGCACTTGTGACAGAACCTCCCTCGAACTTGAGAGCAATCCACTTTTTTCTGACTGAGGACCATGGCCTCAGATTTGGAGGTGCTGATTCTCATTCCAGCCATTTCACACTTGGCTGCGAACTGCTCCAGTGAGAGCTGGAGATCATGACATGATAATGCCAACATGACTGCATCATATGCAAATAGCAGAGAAGGAGTCCTGAGGCCACCAAACTGGACTCCCTCCACCCACTAGCTGCACTGAGAAATTCTGTCCATAAAAGTTATGAAGAGAATCGTGACAATGGGCAGCCCTGGTGGAGTCCAACTCCAACCCTGAAGGAGTCCGACTTACTACCGGCAATGCAAACCAGACTCTTGCGCCGCTTGTATAGGGACTTAACAGCCTGTAGCAACAGGCTCTCAATCTCCCTCTCATCTCTCTGAGTGGGGTGTCCCATCCCTAAATATCACAACATTCAAACTGATAGTTGAAATATTTCAATAAATGCTTATAAATGTACCTGGATTGCAAATTTTAAACAAAAGTCTGGTGTGCAAATGTTCAAGGTAATTTGCAAAATCTGAAATAATGGATCGTAGAATACACGTCATTGAACAAAACTACAACTAATAATCCAGAACTGTTTCGTTGGATGTTTCATTTAGAGATCATAATGCAGTTGAGGACGCCTTTTCAAGGAGAACCTCTTCGACCAGTCTTGTCTGACCAGTTTTGTGATGAGAAGATCAACGACCTCTTGAAGGCCTGCTGGAGTGAGAACCCTGACTATCGCCCACCTTTTGCATCCATACGGAGGCGGCTGAGAGGCATCAGTCCAGAGAGGTCTGTTCCTCCAAGCCTGTTACACGAAATTATAACCTACACGTCCTAACAGAACAAGCAATCACACAATTTTTGATGGGAATAAGTTTTGCACACTGGCATATTCCACCTTTATTACAAATATATATTTTCAAGTTATCTTATTGACAAAAAATTGAACACAGTCATGCCATAATACCTTAATATTATGTAGTCATGCGAATATCCTGGACAACATGGTGGATAAGTTGGAGAAATATGCAAATCACCTTGAGGATGTTGTGGAGGAGCGGACCAATCAGCTTACAGCAGAGAAAGCCCGGGCGGATAAGCTTCTCTCCAGCATGTTACCAAGGTGCCTCATACGCAAACTGCATAAACATCTATTTAAATGGTGTTTTTCCTCATTATTACAGCCTACCTTAGCATGTTTGTGTTGTTCCATTGATTGTAGATATATTGCAGATGAGCTGATGGCAGGAAAGTCCGTGGAGCCGCAAAGCTATGACATGGTGACGATCTTCTTCTCTGACATTGTGGGTTTCACCTCCATGTGTTCTGTCAGCTCTGCAATGGAGGTGGTTACGTTCCTCAATGACCTCTACAGCCTGTTTGATGACATCATAAAGTTGTACGACGTCTACAAAGTAAGAAGAATTGAATGTGAGATTTTTATCGTTGATAAAAGCTTAGGCAACTTGTGTCCAGTTAGTTTAACTCAGTGGGTTTGAACTGTTGTCAGATGATGTATACAAATACTGTTAAAAAGTCATTTATCAAAGAGCCTAACTAACTATTGTATTCTTTTTTAAATCCATTTATGGTTACAGTTTTTTACCCCTTTGGAACAGTTCAAGCTAAATATGCGTTTGCTAATGATTTTTTATTTTTATTAGTTTAATTTCAGAATTGCTTTAATGTAATTGCATCGGGTACAACAATATTATTCCTCTAGATCTAATCAGGACATCTCAGTTTGTGTTTCACAACCCACAGTCGGGCCCTGACCCCAACTTCAAAACACCACTTAGCTTAACTTAGTTTATTGTAAACACTTATGGGGAAAAATGTTTTTAAAGCAACAATAATAAGTGAAGAAACGTGTAAAACATCTGAAATTCTAGCAATGTAGGCTACTTTTATTTCAGGCTATCATTGTGATATTCATACAAGAGCTAAAAAAAAAAGTCTAACCAAGATTAAATCATTTTTAGTCAATTAGCTGCAAGCTAATTTCTGCAAAAGGAGAAGATAATTGTCAAGTTAGCACGCAGCTCAAAGGCAAAGCATGCATATTCTTGGCTAGTCGTTTATCGCACTTTTTATGCTGCAAGTTAATTTCACAATCAATTATTTTCTTTAGCACTTTACTAAGCAGCAAACATGACTTTTCTAAGTGTCCGATTGTATCTATGAATCAAATTCCCATTTTTTTCAGTACAAATGTACAAACCAAAGCAAACGACTAGCCCAGAATATGCATGCCTTGCCTTTGAGCTACGTGCTAATTTGACAATTATCTTCTCTTCTTTTGCTCTCAGCTAAACAGTAAACAAGTCATTCCTAAACATATCAATGTAAAACTAACTTCAGCTGTTCTGTATTGTATTTTTTAGAAGGAAAAAAAAAACACTTTCTAATCTCATTTTTGTTTCTTTATAAGGTGGAAACCATTGGTGATGCATACATGGTAGCTAGTGGCCTGCCTATCAGCAATGGTAACAAGCATGTTTTGGAGATATCCATGATGGCTCTGCATTTCCTGAGTTCAATAAGGGTCTTCAAAATCGCCCACATGCCAAACCAGACTCTCGCAATTCGGATTGGCATACACTCAGGTAATAAACTGTAGCAGCACAAATGCCTGATGTTCAACATAGCCAATTTTCCTATCATCATTTTTTGTGTTATTTGGTAATAATTACCTTCTTTTTTTTGTGTGAAGGAACTAAAAACCCCAAAACAAAACAGTTTAAGTCAGACATTTTAGTTGGTTGGCTTTTATTGCTTAGCCTTTATTCCAAATTTTAAAAAAAATAGTACAATAACAAACACGACTTTCTGACTCTGGTTCTCAAACTTGCTATTCAAGACTGACATCTATGTGAGAAATGAGTCTGTTTTGAAAAAGATTCTGAAGTAGTCGAGCTCTGATTATATCCTTCTTGTAGGTCCGGTGGTTGCTGGAGTTGTTGGTACCACCATGCCTCGCTACTGTCTTTTTGGTGATACGGTGAACACAGCATCTCGCATGGAAAGTAACAGCTTACGTGAGTTATGGCTTTTGCAGATGCTCCTGCTTTTCAGGACTTTTGTCACAAAGGATCAAGTGGGCTAAAAACACAAAGACTATATGCAGAAATTAACCTGTGGTCAATGTTAGCAACACAGTACAACATTTCAAATAGTTAAATCTAAGATGTTGAGCATCTTGTCTCAATGGCCTCTGGACAGATTCTACTACTGAAGTTGGGGCATCTGGTTTAATTGCCTCATGGACACCTTCTGGTTTAATTGACTACCAGAAACTTCCTGATTTTGTTGCCTCCTGGACACTTTCTGGATTAGTTGCCTGCAGGACATCTCTTGACTTATATGCTTCCCAGAAACCTCCTGGTTTAGTTGCCTCCTGGACAATTGCTGGTGTAGTTGCCTCTTGAACATCCAATGGTTTAGTTTTCTCCTGGAAACCTCTTGGTTTAGTTGCAGCCAACTAATGGCTGTAGGAATGTCAGTAACACCATATTGGTCCAGACTGCAGCTTTAGATTGTCACAAATCTTCTACAAATGTTTCATGTCCTTTTAGGATGAATACAATTTAGAGATTTAGCAGCACCAGTTTGATTGCTGACACCCTGAAGACTCAAACCATAAATGTTAACAACCTAAAATAAGTTTTTATCTGCAGCCCTGAAGATTCACATCTCCCAGTCCACGGCTGACATTCTTGTCCAGGCTGGATCATTTGAGATGGAAGAAAGAGGAGAAATTGAACTGAAGGTGACTTCTCTTATTTATTTATTTATTTATTTATTTATTTATTTACATGCATATTGTGACCAGAGTACATTTTCTCTTAAACCAGGGTAAAGGATTACAGAAAACCTACTGGTTGCTGAACAAAAAAGGATTTAATCCTACCGCTGTAGTCCACAACTCGCCAAAATTGGACTGTCTCAAAAAACAAACGGAGGTACGTTAAGAGAACATGATCCACGTCTTTGTCACTGTTAGGGTCAGTTTTTATGCTTCAAGCTCATAATAACTCATTCAAATACTTCCCTTACACTTTGCTTTCTCAGCTAACACACTCTGTTTTAACTCAATGAAATTCAAGACTTAAAGGATTTCTGTTTTGACGTTTAAAATGTTATCCTTGGAAACTGCTTTGCGTGCCCGAGCACCGTCATCATCACACCGTCATCATCACACCGTCATCATCACACCGCCATCATCACACCGTCATCATCACACCGCCATCATCACACCGCCATCATCACACCGCCATCATCACACCGCCATCATCACACCGCCATCATCACACCGTCATCATCACACCGTCATCATCACACAGTCATCATCACACCGTCATCATCACACCGTCATCATCACA